CACAGCCCCGCCCCCCAGCGCGCACACAGCCCCGCCCCCCAGCGCGCGCACAGCCCCGCCCCCCAGCGCGCGCCTCCCGCCGTGGGCGCCGCCGTGTGACGTAAGCGGAAGGGCGCGTCACTCTCGGCGGAGGCTGAGGCGGCGCCGGCGGGGCAGGTACCGGGCACGGGCAGGGAGCGGGGCGACAACCGGGGCCACAACCGGGGCTTAGCGGGCACYGCGGGCAGCGCTTGGCGGCGGGGGCGTTGCGGGAGGAGGGGGGGTCTCTTTCCGCCGTGTCTCTCTCGCCGSCGGCCGCGTCTCTCCCCTCACAGARCCGGCGGAGGCCTAAGGGACGCCCCGTCCCCACCGTCCGCCTCCCCCCACCCCAGCTCCCTCAGGAGCTGATTCACCGCAGGGTCTGGCTGTGCGTGCTGCTCACCGCTGGCTCTGCTCGGTGTCGGGGGCGGGAGCGGCGTCCCGGGGGCTGGAGCCTCGGGCTGTGCCCACCCGGCTGCCCCGGGCTTACAGTCCTCTGTGAAGGGCGTTCTTTAAGATAACTGGGTAAAGTGGCATGTAAAACGTTGGTTGCCATTAGCTGACCATCAGCAGCCAACTGTGGGCTTGGATATTCTCAGCCCCAACAGCTTTAAGAGCTTTTAGGGGCAGCCCGAGGTTCTGCAGTTCTTTGCCTTAATGTTCTGTGGCTGCAGCTGTGGGTAGGAATTCTTTCCTGAGGGAAGAGGCAGAGAAAGCCCACACGGAAAATGAACTCATCGGTGTAACTCAGCCTGTGCTGCCCCTGGATGGGGGGATGGAACCCGGGTTTGTGCTGCTGCCACCCCAATTGTGGGTCTGTACCGAGTCACAGTTCTCAGGCTGGAGGACTCGGGGGTGGCTTTCCTTGCTACYGGTTGGTGCAGAATCCACCCTGATGACACAGCTGGAAAATTCCAGAGCCCATTTCTGACCTTCCCCACTGCCTGCTCACCGAAATACTCTCACAGACAATATAAAGAGCTCCAAAGCAGCGATTTTTCCAAAGTGGTTTGTTTGCTTTGGGCTCAATCAATCATCTTTAACCCCTTTTCTTTTATCTTTCCTCTGAAAAAGGAAAGGACCTCTCAGTAAAACATGTCGTGGATCAGAGAGGGYGAGCTGAGCATCATAGAGAGGTTCTGTGCCAACATCATTAAGGTAAGGGTGCATTTTGTGGTAAAAAACTGGCAGATTCTTCAGGGTTTGGGGTGGAGCTGTCCCTGTGGCCGCAGTGCTCTGGAGAGGGAGCGTTGTTGGCAGGGTACATTTAGTGCTGGCACTGGATGTGCATCCCTGAGCAGCATCCCAGGCTGGGAGATCACTTAGGCTTAGCTTTGCAAATGAGCAAGGCTGCAGGCAGTGCTTGCCAATGAGGATTTGTGCCCTTGCTGATGAARGCAGGGCATGGGAAGGAGGGAGAGRAGAGAGATCCTCACGTTGGGAGTTTAAGAAATGAAACTGAATATTGGAACAAAAACTCACCAGTTCCAGGAAAATTCTCTCCTTGCTCGGCCTTGACAATGCTGATGCTGCCCTTCTCCCTGTCAGACTCAGTGGAAAGGAACACTCCTCTTTGTGAGGGAAATCTTACGACTTTTTTTTTGTTTTCTTGGAAGTTAATTGTGTCTGTGAAAAGGCCCTTAAGCTCTGAAATAAAAAATGCAGCATCAACCTGCATGTGCCCTCCTCCATGGCAGCACTGATCTCCTGAGAACTGCAAAAATGAGAGAAATGGGGAGGGCAAAGCTGCTTTTCAGTTTAGACAATTGTCAATACTGACATATATTTTTGGAGACCCTAAACTGGGCTTGACAAAGAGGGAATGAGCWCCTGACTCAGCCCAGCTGCAGATTTCCTGCTGGGAGACAGCACTGCTCTCATGGGAACACTCAGTGCTGCTGGGGACAGTGGGCCTGAGCTCTCTCTGGTGGAGATGTCTGTTCACCTCTGTGTTTTCCTCAGTGTTTCTCTGTTTTCCAGGCAGGTCCAATGCCCAAGCACGTTGCYTTCATCATGGATGGCAATCGCCGCTATGCCCAGAAGTGTCATGTGGAGAGGCAGCAGGGACATTCCCAAGGCTTTGATAAGCTGGCACAGGTGGGAGGGGTGTTTTCTGCCTTGGTGGGGTGGAGGTGTGAGCTGTGTGTGCTGCTAGACTGGTTTCTTGTGTTTCTTCACTGGAGTCAGGCCTGTGTTTCAACCTGACRTTCCTCATCAGGATCCACAGCTTCTGCTCCTCCCTCCCTGTGTTTTATTGCAGATTCATTCCACTCAGCTATTTTTCCTCTGTTTCACACTCAGCTAAACTATCTACCTTAGAGATCTCAAAGATTTATTTCTATGAAACAGGTTCAAGTTCTTTGAAAAGGTTTTAAAGGTATAACATTATATAATTTATAATGTTATCAACCAGAGGTGCTTTTCTTGGTTGGRTTAGTCCCCTGTGATGGATTCTCATCCTCAGGCAGTGATATTTTCTGTCTGTTGTTTAAAATAGATCTGAAATTCATATCTAGAGGATTTCTAAAATTCATGTCTAGAGGAATTCTGAAATTCATATCTAGGGGGTTTCATGTTCTTGATAGTGGTTTCTTTTGATCCAGTCTTGGCATCCTGGGAAAGCACAGGARGGTTTTACAGTGGAGAAGTTGTGTCTTGCTGGCCTGATTGTTCCATTTTGTTTTCCTGCAGACACTGAGGTGGTGTTTGAACCTGGGCATTCGGGAGGTGACAGTTTATGCCTTCAGCATTGAGAACTTCAAACGCTCCAAGGAGGAGGTGGATGGGCTCATGGACCTGGCCAGACAGAAATTCAGYCGCCTCCTGGAGGAGCAGTAAGAGCCCCCCATGTCTGTGTCCCACRGGGTGGAACCCAAGCAGGACATAACAGAGTTGTTTACAGGGTTGTTACAAATTGTGAAAATGAATTAAATGAGAGAGCCTTCCCCAGTTCCAGTCAGAGATYTGTCTGGAAGGGCTGTGTCCCCCTGCACGCCAGATTTGTGTCAATCCAAGTGGAGACAGCACAGCTTTCAGCTAAGCACAGCACAATCAGAAAGTCCTGCTTAAAAATCTTCATGAAATATCAGAGCTTTGTCCTAATTCTTGATTATTTCGAAGTGCTTAGAGGCTATAGTTGTATCCTAAGCTTCCATATGGATTTTTATAAGTTTAGGTAAAGATGCCTAATCTGTGACAATTTCCTAGTCCTTTGGTTCTGTCTGTAGCTCAGAAACTTTTGTGGAGGATGATCAGTTTGCCTTTATGGAATTGTTTGAGATGATCAAATCTAAGCCAGTTTTGCACACCTGAAAAACATTTGGTGGTTTTGCCTTTSCCAGTTTTGCTGAAGCTGTGGGTGGGTGCTGGCACTTGTGCAGTAGAGTCTGATGTGTTTTCTGTGGTCCCCCTCTCTCTGGGTGCAGGGAGAACCTGAAGAAGCACGGGGTGTGTATCTGTGTGCTCAGGGAGAAGCTGTGGGTGGCAGTTGGCAGTTGTGCAGTAGAGTCTGATGTGTTTTTGTGGTCCCCCCTCTCTCTGGGTGCAGGGAGAACCTGAAGAAGCACGGGGTGTGTATCCGTGTCCTYGGGGACCTGCCCCTCCTGCCTGTGGATATCCAGGAGCTGATTGCCCAAGCTGTGCTGGCAACCAGGAACTACAACAAGTAAGTGRCACAGTTTAATAAATTGCTGATACCACACATCTTCCTCCTCTCTCTGTGGGTTGGGACTTGGCAGACATGCTGCACCTCTTTTCTTCTTGGTCCTACATCACTGTCATCTGCTGGATCTTTCCAGGATGAGCTTTTCACATCTTTTCCTCTTTTCAGGTGCTTTCTGAATGTCTGCTTTGCATACACATCRAGACATGAGATCAGCAATGCTGTCAGGGAGATGGCCTGGGGGGTGGAACAAGGACTGCTGGAACCCAGGTAACTCTTGGCTTTCTGTGGGGGGCATTTGGATGARTCCTGCCTGTCCTACCACTCACACTGCATGAGAAACCTCTCAAAAGCCAAGTGGCTTTTAAATAGATCTCATTAAACCAGTGTGACTGGAACAAATGACTTAAAGCTACTATGCAATGTTTGGTTTTTATTATTTCAGTTACCATGGTGATAGATACACAACCAAGACAGAAGAGAAATTAGGTCTGTGTCTTAAGTTAGTTTAAATGTGAAGGCAGATTTTATGCCACAACAATTGGCTGCTTGGCTGACAGTCTTAGCTATGAGGTCAAACAACAGATGAATCATGAATGCTGCACTGTTCCTCCACCCTGAAGGAGATGGAATAGTTACACTCTGCTCCCTGCTCCAGATGGAAGCCCTCACAGTCTGCTTCCACCACTGTGTTATGTTTCAAAGAGCATGGAGTGGGATGCTCTGGGGGCTGAAATAGCAKTTGGAATAGCCTGTGGAGCAGACAGCAGTGTCTGTCAGAAGCGAGCTGATGACTGGCTGTGGTTCAGCTCCACCACCCAGTTTTAATCTGCAGCCCTGAGTTTATACGAAACCCCTTAATTCAGATTTGTGCCACATCCATCAGGTCAGAAAAGGGATCTGATAAACTGTGTCTGTCTTTTAGTGACGTGTCTGAATCACTGCTGGATAAGTGTCTGTACACCAACAACTCCCCTGACCCAGAYCTGCTGATCAGAACCTCGGGAGAGGTTCGCCTCAGTGATTTCTTGCTCTGGCAGGTAAAGTCTCTGTTTCCTCCTTGGGAGAAATTGGTTTCATCTTGAAAGCTTTCATCATCCAGCTCAAGGATATCTTCAGTGCACCACAACTCTTGGCTTCATTAAGCAGTTTAAATGCCATGAGTGGGCAGTAAGGAATATCATGAGATGTCATTTGAAGAATGGCTTAAATGTCATGTCCTGATCCTCAGTTCAACTGTTATTCCCTGAGCCTTTGGTACTCTGGTGTTGCTATTTTCAGTTTTTTTTATAAGTCTGTGATGCTTAAGCTATTAAAAATACTTCTCTGAAGACCAACACAACATTAGGAAGAATTCTGCTGCTGCCTTTGCAGGAGTGGATGACTTGTGTCCCAAAATATAATTAGAAAGACTCCACACTGTGCAATTTCAAACTCTCCTGGTTGGTATTTATCTCACTTTAAGTAGAATCTGACAACACAGCCTGGGTGAAACCTTTGTGGGGAAGCTGGCATCGTTTGCCCAACAGAAYTGTATCTTAATAACTTTCTCCCTTGCTCAGTGATTAAATTGTTGGTGATCTTGCTTTCTGCAGACATCCCATTCATGCCTGGTGTTTCAATCAGTCTTGTGGCCAGAATATTCCTTTTGGAACTTGTGTGAGGCTATCCTTCAGTTCCAGATGAACTACAGTGCTTTACAGGTAAGGGAGCCTTGGGGAGGTGGAAAGTTCATCTGTGTTCCCTGCACAGCAGCTGGAGCTCAGGTGAGAGGCTGCAAAGTGGGAGCAGGAATTGGTAGATATGATCCTGTTTCAGTAGCAGCTCGTGTTGCTTCTCCTGCACCCCTGTGGTTTGTTACAACCTTGGTGTGTGGCCAGGCAAAACCCAAAATATCCAAAGTCAGCACTGTCTGTGTTACTCATTGCTCATTCCACCAACTGGAGCATCTATCCCAGAACTCACACACCAAGGGAACACTCCTGCTCTGCCACAGGGTGAAAKCTGCCCATTCAACTCATCCCCCCACCACCAAAAATCAGACCAAGTAAAACCATGACACTCTTCAGCAGTGCTTTAAGCAGATGCTGAGTTCACAGTGGAGCAAGCAGGGAGTACTCACATGCTCTTCCTTGAACCCCACTATTGTTTTTAGGGTTGTAACAAGTGGGTTTAGARTTTCCTTTCTGGGAGCTGAAATGAGGCAGCCTGAGCTGTGAGTCTGTGGATGAGCATCCTCTTTCTGCTGGGTCCAGATGTACCTGCTGAAAGGATTGTTCCTGTTGCTCATTGACATTGTTCCTCTCCTTTTAGATSTGTTGTTGTGAGCTCTCATTGACCTGGTTCTGATAAAGCTGGCCAATTCAGCAGTGAGTTAGTAATTTGGGTATTTTTAAGCAAAGCAAATGTGGGAGCTGGAGYTCTTGATGGAGAAATGTGGGAGGCAGCAGTTTGTGACACAGAAACAGCAGTGAGAAGGACCTCAGCATGGCAGCTCTTAACCTCCACCATATCTCGCTGCTGAATGTGTCTGTTCCTTAATTATTTGAGTCCTCTTTTAAAAGACAGGTATTACATTGCCCTTTTCTACCTTCAGGGACCTYGCTCACCCCTGAGAGTTGTCAAAGAGATTATAGCCAGTTGTGGTTCTGGCTGAATTTAATCAGGTGCAGCCAGTCTGGCAGCATCCAAACTCTCCACATCCTTAACCTCTTTTGTTCCTATTTCTGGCCCAAATCTGCCCTTTTCCTACCAGCAATTCATTGTGTTAGTACAACTAATGGCAGTTCACCTTCTGCATGAAGAGGGAAGCAAAAAAGGCAGCAGTGTTTGTCATTGCCATGAGCTTGGCCTCTGTCTGGAACAGTAAGGTCACTGTTCTGACTTTGCTCCTGGTGCTGGTTTCTGACAGGCAACAAATGCTGCTTCTGTTTCCAGCTATTCTCATCTTTTCTGAGTTCTGGTTTGTGGCTGGATGTGTTCATGCCATGCTATTATCAAGGTTTCTCATTGTCCACATTTGTGCTCTGAGCAGTTTTCTCCCTGTGAGAGCCACTTTGCAATTTCTGCAAGGGCTGCCCTCTTTTCCATGGAACCCTCACARTTGTGCAAAGGGATGGCTTCCCCCTCAGAGGAACTGAGATTTAGGAGCTGGGTCTTTTTTAAATTTAAAATAGGTGATCTTGAAATCCAGAAGAGCTCACAAAGGATATTTTACATGCTTTTGGGATGCAGATGGACAGCAGGGTGGAAGGGGTGACAAGGTCCATAAAACCCCCAAGATTTGGAGGTATTGGATAAAAGAGATCCTCCTCCATCAGCTCAAACAGCATCACTCAATGGCTGCCATTTTATTTCCCAGCTTGCTGCTCAGGGTGTTTTCCCAGCTGTTTGTTACTCACCACATAGTCCCAGCATCAGTTAGACCCTGCTTTTAGTACCTGATCTAGGGAAGGAATGGCTGGTGCAGTGGTCAAGCTGAGTCTTTTTTGAGGAATGAGGAGAATTTCACTTTGTCTGAGAGTGGAAGTCGTGCTCAACAGCCTGRTGATCCTTGCAGTTCAAGTCAGCCTTGAGTGCATCCATTCACAGGGTTTTCTGTGGCTGGGAATATTTCTGCTCTCATTCCCAGCAYAACAAAAGCTAATTTCCAGAGCCAGAGCTGCCTTGGGCTCAGGGAAAGTGTGGGGATGAGTCAGGCTCTCATTACAGTAATCATTTCTTCTTGCTTGTTTGAAAGACCAGCACTTCTCAAGTATGTGTTTGTGTGTCAGTTTATGTCACAGTGACCAGCTTCAGAGTTTTTAAAAACAGAAGTTTGATGTTCCTGCCTGCTGATGTGTTTTTGCAGTTGGAGGCTACAGGCCAGGACATGTGCAATAAGGAGAAATCTCAAAGTGATGTTCTACAGCAAGATATTTCAAATACTTGAAGGGTAGGCAAGGATGGCTCCTGTCTGCCTTTCCTCCTGTRTTTCAAGCCAGGACACTCTTAGATCACAGGAATCTGGGAATGCTGAGCTTATTCTTGCTTTTATTTTGAAGCTGATTAGCTCAATACCAGATCATCTCAAAGAAAGTCCTGGTTTGGAGTCCCTTGAAACCTTTCAGCAGCCAGGGAATAGAATCAAAAATGCTGTGATAACACTGGTGAGGGTAACAGTGTGCATGTGTGGGTTCAAAATTTCTCTTGTAGCTGTTCTTTTCTGATTCCAGTATCTCAGGGTTTTCCCCCAATCTGTCCTGACTTTTATCTATTTTAACTCGGAGTTAATGCTCTGAGCAGAGTTGTGTCTTGGAGGGAAGGCCCAGAAGGACATCCCTGTGTTTTTTATAACCAATCCAAGCAGGTGTGGAAGAGGCAGACCCAGAGCCACCTTTCACTGAGAGGCCTGCTAAAGTGCTAACACTCACTGCTTTTCACTGCAGAAGGCCAGAGACTCCTACCTGGAGGAGAGGAGGAGGCAGCAGATGGAGAGGGACCAGGCTTACGTGAGCAAGAAGCTGCAGCAGGAGGGGTGTGCACCCCACGGGGACGCGCGGCGCCGGCGGACTCTGCTGCAGAAATGCACGGCCCTGCGGGAGGAGAGGATCCAGGGCTTCCTGCAGGCTCTGGAGCACAAGAGAGCAGACTTCTTTGAGAGATTGTGTACGGTGTCTGCATGACACAGGTGCTGGGCTCTGGGGAACAGTGTTTGCAGGGAGCAGCTGCTGCCCAGAGGGTCTGGCTGGGTGCGGTCCTGCCCTGAGATCCAGGGCTGCTCCAGGATCTCCTGCCCAGGACAGGGATGGCTGCTGTCAGCTCTGTGGGGCTCTGATGCTGCTGAGGAAGGTGGTGCTGTCCCTGTCACCTCCCTGCCCCTGCACCCTGCTGGGTCCCTCCTGCCCACTCCTTGGCAGGTCTGGTGTTCGGTGACAAGAAGTTAACTGCAATGAGCTTCCTCCAGTTTTCTGATTTCTCCTGAATTGGCCTGGCCAAACCAATTCAGTCCTGTTAAATCAGTCTGGGCTTGGATTCTTTCCGTGGCTTTGCCATAGGGAATCTTCTGATTTAGGAATCTTAAGATTTCCTCTGCTGTCCYTTCAAGGGAGCCTTGCTTTCTGCAGGGAGAGGATTATTCTTGGTGTCAGGGACATTCCCCACTGCATGCTTGGTGAGAGCATCTGGTCTTTTCCCCACCTGACTCTGCTGAGTTGGATGTATCTGCTCTTGGTTTCTAGAGATCTAAAGRAAGGGTTTCTAGCCTTACTGTAAAGAAAAAAAAAAAGATAATTGAAAGCTTCAGCAGGTTCTGAGATCTCTGAGCAGTGCATGTGGGGAAAACCCAAATGCAGAAGGTGCTGGTGTTGGATCAGACTGACCTTGGGAAAGGCTCTGAACAGGCAAGGAAAAAGAATTGAACCTCCTGTCTTAGAAAAGGAAAGAAAATGGTTAAACCCAGGTGATGGCTACAGTATGCCAAACCCTCTGAGGGAGTTCAGGGAATGAGGGTGGGCTTAATTCAGGAATACAGCAGCCAAAACCAAGCTCTGACCCCAGCCCAAATGGTTCAGAAGGGCTGTTTGGCTGTTTTCATGGGCCAGAGCAGCCATGGAGTATTATCCTCAGTTTTCCATTGGCAGGGAGATGGACAAGCTGATTTCCAAGATTGTTTCCGTCTCTGATTCCTCCTGGTTTCCGTCCCCATGATCAAAATAACTGAAAATGTCTTGATTTTTGCTCCTGATGCACACASAGTACCAGCTGTTGCTGGATTTGAAGTGTTTCTTCTTACCTCCAGGTGAAAACCAGAAAATGCAGATTTAAAAGACTTGTAAGTGCTGCAAACTGAGCACTTGGCCTGTGATTGTGAAGAGAAGAACTGTRTAGTCAAACTGGGAATAAAGTATATTCATACCAAAGTTATTTACAAAATAACCTGAATGTTTAAAAGTATGTAGARCTGCTTATTTCAAGGTGTGATGAAGTTGGAATCCAGGTTTAATATAACAATATTTAACATGAGACAGACTCCTTAWGTGATTCCTGTTAGCCTGGGAATGATATGAAGGTAATTTTTACAGTGYAGTGTGAGCAGTTTGCTGATACCCYGAAGCCTGGYCGAGTGTGGGCACGAAGCAGGTGCCACCTGTTGTGTAAGTARGAAAAATAATTTGGATAAAAATGTGCTGAGATGATGGGAGCTGTTGRTTTTAAACTTCTTTTGCTGTATTTTATTTTCCTCGCATTTCAGGAAACTGTGGAAACAGTGTGCTCTCCATGAGATGGAATMTCTGCAGTCTGCTTTGCCAGGCTGATGGGGAGACTCTTCTACTAAAAAAAAAAAGTATTTTTGCCTTAAAAAAAAAAAAGGTTTTCCATTGTGTTATGACTCTACAGGTGACCAAAGCCACAGTGGTGGCTTTCCACAAAGTACTGGTCCTGCTGCARATGTGGTAAGTGAAGGATTTGGTTTACTAAGGGCTTATATGGAAAGTTTTAATCCATTTTGTAAAAGGCATCGCTGGAGTAGGGGAGAAGGAAAAGTCCTTCAAGCAGTGGCAAACTCAGAGTTGCAGGAGTGCCTCTTTCCAGTGAATCTTTGGGAACAGAGCCACAGGCTTCTGTCAGTGAGAACTGAGCGTCCATCATTCATGTTTATGGGCTGAAGATGGGAAAAATCAGCACAGCTGGAGAAAAGCACAGTTGAGGTCTGAAACAGTCAGCGTTTACCTGGGCAGGGAAGGGGGGAGGTTGTTCCTTGGGGTGTTCTGCTGAATGAGGTTTAACTAAAAAGTGAAAGGTTTGGGGCACAGTGAAGTGATGAAGATGTTTAGCTGGATTTGCAGCACATGTGGCTRTGCCAGGTGTGAGGAATGTCCCCTCTTGGAAGGAGCCCAACTCCCCGAGCCACTTGGCACAAGCAGCAGGCACCTGTGTGAATTGATTTAATGTCATTTTATTGCTTTTTAACATTTTTCTCTCTTCTTCCAGCACTGCCGCCTCCTCCTTTGGCCACAGCTCTGCGCATCTCCCATGTTTTCMCAGGAAAAAGGGCTGGGGGTGACTCCCGCGGGAGCCTCTCGGGCGCGGGGGAGGTGCTGAACGAACAGCTCCGCTCACCTGCGCGCGGGATCGCCCTGGGGGTTGTTCCCCCCTTTCCCCCGAGCCGCCTTTCCCATCCCAAATTTTCACCTTTTCCCCCATTTTTTTTTTTATTTT